ATTTTGTTGGAGCGGTACAGTGAAAAGCAATAAAAGTTTTGGAAATATTTATCTGGGAATTTATCGTGTCCACAAAGATTGGCTATTGAATCGCCGTTCGACAAATCATTCGTTTATGAGTTTGGTTTTAAATTGGTTTGTAAAGAAAATATTATCAATAGAAAATAAATGTAAACAAAGGTAAAAACTAAGGAAGAACTTATCAAGCCTGCATATAATATACTCATCACAGTCTTAAATCTATCGACCAGTTACATTCGACCTAAAAATACTCATCAATGTCACCACGTATCACTCACAACCTAAGTCATTTCTAACCCAAATTGAGAGGATGACTGTATCACCAAGGAAATGACCTCTCTACCTCCTCAAAAACACATAATACAACTATGTAATCGCACTGACGATCTCTCTAAGCAGAATATGTCTATAAAAAATCAAATCCCTAGTACAGAGCAAAAATCCAGGACAACAATCAACAAAGATTTGTAAAGCAAGTTTAATATAACGCCATGGGCGGAAAATATACATGAGTTCAAAGTAAATATATATACAAACTCAACACATAAAGAATACACAAAGAAGAAGATAAATGAACCACAAATCTACCGGTTTGTCAATGTCTATTGAAGATCAATCCACCCCGGATCATCCGTATGCAAGCTTCAATGTTGTTTTCTAAGCAAATTCTATCAAAAAATGAAGTTGGGTGGAGTTGGGATCAAAAATACCCAAAACCATACCCAAAAAATGTGTTTTTACCCCTAAATACGCATTTCTGACTCTCCCGCATCGCCCGACGACCAAAAAGCGTCGTGCGATGACCAAAACTGCATTTTTTCCACGCTTCAGGTCACTCCAGAATCACCTGGCGACCAAAAAGCGTCGCCCGACGACAAATGACAGAAAGTTGAAAAACCAGCACAGATTCAGCCATAAGTTTTGAACCGTAACTCCGATTCACGCACGGTTAGAAGTGTTGGAAAGCTTATTAAATGCTCTATCTAACAATGCCTAAATATTAATGATTGAATACTTATAAAAATGAGATAAAATCAATTAAACTCAATGATATTTACACAATAATGCAATAAATACACTGTAACATAAACTATACCGAATATACACTAATGTTGAGGTTTATTGACGAAAAGCAAACGAATTAAGCCGATGAGTGATGATTATTCACACTAAAATTCACAACAATTTAGCACTCATCAGAAGCAAACATGTGGTTACATGTTTCATTAAATTCAAGGTTCTGAATTGATCTTCTGCAACGTGTCTTAGGAACGTGAGTACAAGAAGTTTTGAATGTGGCTTTGTGGTTTAGCTTTGGAGGCCTTCTAAAGCTTTACTTATGTGTGTTACAAGTTCTGAAGATTATGAAGACAAGGTTTTACTGAACAAGTTCTGGTGATCTAAAGAAAAGAAAGTTCTTACAATCAAGTGCTGAAGACTCTAAAGACAAGGTTCTATGTGACAAGTTCTGAAGACTCCAAGACTTAGGTTCTAAGGCTTAATAAATATTCTTCTATAACAAGCTTCAACATTCAACGTTTAAATATTTGAAGCCTCTGTAGGTCAAGAATAAAAAGTTTAAAATGGTTAACGTGTGATAGTGTACAAAAAGTACATAAAGTGACTGTGACCTTTACTCTTCTAGAGTGGCGCAAGGACAACTCTTTTGTACTTGACAGTGACTAATCTCATTATAATCGTTAAGAACCAACAACTAGATTTTAGATTTAACTTTCTACCCTTTCAAGGGATCTCTTTTACAAGATACAAAAGAAAGACTTGGAAGCTGAAGAAAATTAACAAACTACATTACAACGAAAAATCTATCAGTTCAAATCAAGCTCAACAAAACTACACCAAAGCGCTATGCAAAATCTGTAGAGAAATCATTTGTGTATAGTTTTATAAATAAGTAAGGAGTTGTTGCTCGTATCTTCCAGTAGAACACTTACGTGTTCTTCATTATACTGAAAAGTCTATGTAATCTACTTACAAGAAGAAAATCTGCAATACACTGAAAGTACTCAACTATTGTTGAATAATACCTTGAGAGACTGAGTGAAGGTCTGAGCTCAAGAAGACTCCTGCTGCAGTTTGAGTGGATTTACAGTAAGGATAGATAGACTTATTGAGGGTGTCAATAAGGTTGATCAGACTTGTTGTGGGTTATTTTGTAATTAGTTTGGTTATAGTGGATTAAGTCCTTGTTAAAGGCGAAATTATCCTTGCGAGGATGGACTGGAGTAGATTAGTTAACAATGAACCAGAATAAAAATCATTGTGTTCATTTACTATTTTATGTTCTAAGCATATTTGGTTTGTCACCATCGAAAATATTTTATTTGGTGAACCCCAATTAAAACCCCCCTTTCTCGTGTTTCTCACACGTTCAAACATAATATAATTCAAATGTGAATTAATTATACTATAATAGTGAACAAATTTCCGACACGTGAACAATATATTAATGCATACACGCAAATTGACAAAAACGTAAAAACTAAAAGTGATACTTTATGATAACGTGGTTTAAATTTAATTAGATGTGGCTATGTTTTTGAAATGTGCTTTGCATCACAGAGGATCATTCCCCAAAAAAAGATAAAGGATCCCCGTCCCTGCCCTCGAGGTAAAGACTCATTTTAAGGCAGGTGTCTCCAGGCTTCACCACTCTCACCCTTGGATTGGCTAGATATGAAAGGGGTGCACCAGCTACATGTAAATGCATGTATTTCATTGACAGGGAGTATCTCAATATTGAATTCAGATGTGAAAAGTGTTTTAAATAGTACCCCTGGGGGATTTGGTTTTTATAGTCGAACATGTAAAATGTCACTGACAGCTCCCCTGAATTTTGAAGACACACAATGCGCTGTGGAGAATTGATTATTGTAGTCGGGCATACAAAGTGTATTTGGAAGCACCCCTAAATTCTTAAGACGTACAAGGCATTGTGCAGAATTGATTGCTGTATTCGAGCGTATACTCAACAACACCCTTGAGTTCTGAAGGCGCACAAGATGTTGTGCAAAATTGATTGTTGTAGCAGGGTGCACAAAGCATATCTGATAGCACCCTTGAATATTCACATAGGTAATGTATCAAGGGATGTTGATTGATGTATTCGGACGTGCAAAGCATCTCCGACCGCACCCCGTAATTTTTAAGTCAAGCATATAAGAGTATAATAACAATATGTGTGTGTGTGTGCGTGTGTCTATATATATTAATTAAATCTTACGGTCGGGCGCAAGTGTATATCGATTGCTCTCCCTCGGATGTGTTGTTTGGATGGCTTGATGGTCGTTAGCTTTTGAAGACTAGGCCCCCGACTTGTGAAATGACCAGATTCTATTAAGTGTGTCTGGTTTTGCTTCTCGAGACTAGAATGGACCGGAGATTTTGGACCTTACTCTTTTTCCAGATGTCCAGGTTGCTTGTGTATTTAACCGAGACCAGAAGGATTCTTATTGGCATTTGAAGATGTTCATCTGGAGGTTCATTTGGCTGAGCTGAACCCATACAGTTTCTCGATTGAGGGGGAAATGAGACTCGATAGATCGCGGCCTAGCGAATTTGAATTTGGATCCGGGAGGATTTACCAACAAGCCTTGTTATAAATTAGAGATCAAGGTTCCTGGTCGGCTAAAACTCAACCTGAGTCTGACCGATCGAAAGACCACGAATATGAGTCTAAACCTATAGGTGCTTAGTGTCTTCTCACGGTGGTTCGTGACGGATACGAACGAAGGATCGGAGTTGGATCGAAGTTCGACGAATGGAAACGACATAAATCTTAGATTTGGCTTCTGAGATTTCGAATCCTTCGCTAGAGACACTTTCAGATTTCAGAGCTAAGAATTGAACGTGAGATCGATATCACATGAATAATAAGTTGTCTCACACAACCGCCGCCACTGTTCCATTGCGAAATGAGAAATAGAGAGAATCGTGGAAATTACTGTGGAGCGAGATTCTCGGAGCACTACAGTGATGAGGCACTATAGATCAAAGGTTGCAATCACTGTGCTCCTTGAACCAGAGATGTTGATCTTGAATCGGCATCATTACCTTCTGATAGGATAGATCGAATAATATAGATACCTGCATGGTTAGCACTTCAACACGTTAGTCAATTAGGATTCAAGATAGTGGTAGAGAAATTGAAGATTAAATAGTATATCTGAAAATTCTTTATAAAAATATTTATACCTTTAAGTTCGATGTAGCAAACTAAATAAATAAACTTTGTATAATTGGACCGTTGATGGACACTTAACAAATTATACATTTATTATTATATTTTAATTGTTACAACTTTCTTTAATTTTCCTTATTTTTCCTCTTTAATTTCACTCTTTAACTTTTAGTTATATGTATTTAACTATGTCTATTTTGACAATTATACATTTAAAATCAAGTTTAATAAAAACTATTCAAATTTATTGAATTAATTTTTTTTAAAATTAGTTCTACCAAATTCAATTATATAAAAATTAATTATATCTACCGTTAATTTAATCACATACTTAAATATTTCAGCTATAGATTCTGGTCTGGCCTATTTCTTCTCTTCCTATATCCGATGACCAGTTCTACCAAACAATATAAACCAGTTAAACATGTGATGTGAAGGATCTTTCCAAAATCACATTTGTAATGTTGACTTTAACTTTATAAAGTGTTGAATTTCAAATATAGAAGAGGGTTGCTATGTTTACACCAAAATTCTTACACTTTGTATTTACACCGTATTAAGTACCGCATGGCTATGTGTTTCATTATGTCTGAACAAATAAAAAAATAACGATTAAATATTTTAGAAAAACAAAATCCAATAACAAACATTAGCAATACCAACTTTTAATGAAGTAGAATGAGTCAATAACAACAATATTTTGAGTTAAAAAAAAAAAACAACAACACTTAGTACTCCTCAAAAAACCTTCATTCTGGACTTAGGCTAGTTATAAACTCTCTCAATGATGATAAGTAGGAGGTGGAGGAGAAAAGAAGTAGAACGCCGCCGGCGGTGGTGGAGGAATCTTACGATGCCTATATTTTGGCGGCACATGGTGGTAGCACCCAGGTGGTGGTGGCGGTGGGTGTGCACCATGGTGTGGCAATGGAAAAGAGTGAACAAGAGTAACACTGGATGAAATGTTGAGTAACAAAGCCAATAGAAACACAATCAACAAAAGAAAGTTACTCATGTTTTTATCTTTCACTTCTTAACACACACACACACTTTAGTTATAAATCAAATAATGGAGACATATGGTTACTTATAAGGGTAAAAAAAAGTGTTACATTAGTTTGACATTAATAATAGTAAACATAAAGTTAAGATGGGATAGGGTTGGTTATTGTTTTGGTTAGAGAAGGTGAGAAAGAAGAAACATGATTAATAATGAATGTGAAAGAATGTACCAACCCACCCAACAAACTTTATTGGCCTGTTTAATATCTTTCTCCATTGGAGTAGGCAGACGTTGAATTTTCAGTGTTCTATCATACTTCTATGTCCCACCAATTGTTAAAAGTTTGTAGCAAGAGACTTTTATAATAAATGACTTGAGTTTCTCTTTCTCTTTCAATATTTATTATCCACAAACACATTTATGACAACATTTATTATTAATTATCTAAATATAATTTTAAATAAGTTATTATAAAATAGTAATATGACAATGAGTAATTCAATATATATATACTCAACCAAACTCTTTTAACATTTTTTTCTTACATTATTTTTTTGAATATAAATATGTTTAAAATTGAGTTTTTCACTTTTTAAAACAAAATAACAATGAGAAGTAGAGTTATATTTATGAAATTAATAAATGTATTTAAAAAATAATACTATCTTTATTTTTAGAAACATTTTTACATGATGAAAGTGTATCTCTTGTTGAGTAGCACTAAGAAAAAGGTAAGTATATTGAAATATTTATCACTTCATCACTTATATTTTCGCTACTTTTTTTTTAGTTATTATTACGATTCGGCCTTTGTAATTGCGATTAAAAGGAAATTAAAATATTTAATATCAAAATTGATATTTAAATTGGATTACTTGATCCAGTGAACCGATTATTGAGAGTGAAGTTAAAACATTAACTTTATTTATAAATACAATTCAAATAATAAAAAATAGTTAATAAATAAGAAATTTCTTTGAATCTTTAGTATAGTTTATCTCTAATAAGTTTTTAGAATCAACTTCACTTAAATTTTTTATTTAAAAAAATTGAAGTGTTAATTAATATTTTCCACATTTATAATTTTATTTATTAATTAAACTTCAATTTACTTAATTAATTAATTAATTATTTTGATTTGTACTATATTTTATTAAGTAAATTTATTTTTCATAAAAATCAGTACACTTGATAATTTTCTTACTTACTGTGCACAATCTTAAAAAAAACATTATGAGACCGAGGTATTACTAGCATTTTTTTTTTGTATAGGTCTTCAATTATAATTTTTCGAGAAAATTAATCATGTATACAAACATATTAAAAGTTATATATATATATATATATATATATATATATATATATATATATATATATATATATATATATATATAAAACATAGTACAAAATATATATATATATAAAACATAGTACAAAATAAATTATATATAAAAATATAAAATATATGTTAAGATAATTGGTGAGCCACGTATAAAATAAATTACATCCTTTATTATATTTTTGTTAGATCAATTATTTGATTAATTAAATATGAATTGAGATTTTATCATTATTTAATTTTATTATAGTTGATTGTTATTAAATAAGATTGTATTATTATGTTAAGTTTAACCAGAGGTCTTTTTCTTCCGTCATTTAATTATTTAAAAGTTATTCTCTTAAATAATTAATATATTTTAAAAATTCTATACGACAATGAGAGTAATGTTATGAATATAACAATGTGAGTTGGAAATATTGAAAAAATAAAGTGTAGAAAAGTCATATACTGATTTAAAAAATGGAGATTTGACCATTTATAAGTGCGAGAATTCACACACATATTACATTAAAGTTTTAGGTGATTATGTCGTGTGTCTCTCACAAATTATGTTGCTCATAAATAAATGTCTCAATGTAACAATATTCTCTCATGTTGACCCTCAAATGGATGATCTAACAGTGGTATCATGAATCGTTGGTTCGAGTGAAGGACCGACTCAATTATATTGAAAGTACTCCTCACATGGTGGTGGGTAGGAGTGTTGGGAAAAAACAAAACATAGAGAAAAAGCTGAACAAAATAACAACACAAGAGATTAACGTGGAAACTCCAAAACCGGAGAAAAAACCATGACCGTTATCAAATGACAATAAGAGAATATCACTATGTGAAAATTATTACAACACATAGACTACCCTCAAACACCTCAAGGCCCCAATACACCAACACTCTAAGCAAATATTTAACTACCTCTCACAATACTCTAAAACAAGAGTATAAGAGAAAATAATAAAAGTCAAATACAAGTTTAAAGTGTTTTTGACTGATACATCTTGTAAAGAAAAACACGAATCCTATATATGACATTGGACTCCGTCTTCATTCACTAAACTAAGTGATATGAGACTTGGAAAAACTTTAATTCTATATATAGTCTTGGACTCCCTCTTTCTTTATAAAAATAATTGATGTGAGACTTTTTCAACATGTATATTTTCAACCAACCCTAACAATCTCCACCTTGATTGAAAATAATACATAAGCTTACATTGTCTTCACTGACAATCATACTCTACCATAAAGAATATAGTCACTTGAAGCTACACCACTCCAAGAATTTTCACATTATCTTCACCGACAATTATAGTTTTTTAAAAACTATCATACTCCACCTAAAGAAGAGTATACTTTACTTGAAGATAAACCCCTTCAAGAATTTTCACATGCCAATGATGCGTATGTGTTCGCAAGTGTACGAATCGCGCAGAGTAATATAAAAGATTATCGATCCACAGAGACCAATCGTCAATCTATCATTTCCTATTGTTACGGTGTTTAAGCTAAGTCAAAATCAAACAGGGAATTGAGCATGCAAGAAAGTAAAGTGCGGTGAAATAAACTTTAGATATAAAAGCAGGGCCGAATGTGATTCACATAGTCAGATGATATTCACAATGCTTCAAAATAGAACTACTTATAGGGCAATATTTTCCACTAAAGAAAAGAACTAATTTAACAGGAACTGTCGCTTTCGCGTAATCAGAACCGAGTTTACTCTCTAATCAGACCTTCTTATCGTCACTTATAAAAAGGCGCGCATTGCATTAAAGTAATAAACCTATTTTTAAGAAATAAAGTACTTGACAAAGTTGAAAAGTATTTTAATTTGGAATTTCTAATAAAAAGGGGACCTAACTTTAACCCTATAAACGCGTCTGAAAATAGTTTCAAAATTGATTTCTTTCATAATAAAAATCCCTAACTAACCGGACAAAGCGCTTTCGCTTCCTTTGACCAGTTAGAACTAACCGAGTTTAACAAAAGGTTGGACGACTTTCGATCTTACCCAACAATAATAAAGTACAGAAAACTCGTATTAAAAACCAAAATAGCCCATAAGCATTTCTATTGACACATTATTTGAAATATCGATCTAACTAGATTCCTTACATTCTAGACCAGTAAGATTTAGCCTGACATGGAAATGTAAACAGACATGTTAAAATAAATCGTGCGAGAAAGTAAATAATTTAAAGTGCGGTGCAAGAAATAAACAAAGTAAAAGCAGGTGCGGGAAATAAACAAAGTAAAAGCAGGTGCAGGAAATAAAATAAAAGCAGGTGCGGGAAATAAACAAAATAAAAGCAGGTGCGGGAAATAAAAAAAGTAAAAGCAAGTGCGGGAAATAAACAAAGTAAAAGCAGTGCAGAATATATAAATAGAAACCTGCTCCAAACTGGGAGGTTTTAAATCTGATACAAACTGGAAGTAAAAATGCGACTGGAAATAAACAGCAGTTGAAAATAAATTGGCAAGATAAACTTCAGCCGAAATGCTCCAAACTCGATTACAGACTCAATCTACGAACTCGATCACAGACTCAATCAACAGTGCGATAATTCCCCGATGTGAAGAATTATTGCTTAACAATGGTGAAATTATATGGCTTAAGTTCGCAACTATGGTTGGATCAAGTTTGCAACTAAGCTTGGGTCATTTGAAATGAAATCAGGAACTTCTATTTATAGAGGATGAAGAATGAAGGAAATCATAGGAATGCCCCCCAACTCCTTTTGGGGGGGAAAGCATCGTCCAAAGGTGGCGCCCGCCATGAGTGTAATATGATAAGAAGTGGGGAATGTGGCAGTTGAGGTCAGCAGGAGGTGGTCCACATCATGGCCTACCCTATGGTTGGCTCCATGGTGGACGCCATGAGTGCAAATTTGACCTAAACTCCTGTTTTTCAGCCTGTTTTCCTTCATTTCTTCAGGGGAGCTCTGGGTAATTGAAATACTTGAAAAGGAAACAAAAGATAGGCCTAATACAAGAAAAAAATAATAAAAAACCTAAATAACATGTGAAATCAGAGTAAAAAACAAGTGTAAAGTAAGTGTTATCAAATTCTTCCACACTTAAATCTTTGCTTGTCCTCAAGCAAAAACACTAAATAGATTAAGAAGAAAAAACGGTGTTAGTGAACAAGTTGGGCTGCAAGGGGCCTCTGGAATTAAAACAGGGATGTATTGATAGGTACTGACTGATTTAAACCAAGGATATCGTAGTGACACTCTTCCGTAAAACGGACATAAGCTTCGTTCTTTTACGAACCAATCCATATCATGCCACTATACTTAGGCCTATATTTTTCATATTTTTAAATCCTTTTTCATTCAGGCGCAATTACATTAAGCCCGTTATTCATACATGCTCATAGTAAAGTGACCAAGTAGTGATTCTGATCATAAAGCGCAGGGTTCTGGTACAAAAAGTTGGTCTAACCCTTTTTATTGACCCATTTATAGTTGCGGGGGATCGAATCGTAATCCTCCCTACCAAGTTCAATATTAGATACCTCTGAACCAACTAAAGATGGGTAAAAAAAATTCTTTTTCTTTTTCTTTTTCTTTTTCTTTTGCTTTATTTTTCAACATACAACTTTTGTTGGGTTAAATGACTCTGAGGGTCACCTATCCCGGGGTTGTAGTTTATAATAAGAACATAGCATATA